TCCTCGTAACGTTTTTTGCCCGTAATAGAAGCGGCATCTGTTTAGTTGCCGATAATTTGGGTAGTTCTGTCGGCTTGGTGGTTAACACTGAATCGAGTTTAAGCTTTTGACTGAGCCATAAGTTAACTGAACACTGAACGTAAAGAATAAATTGACTCAAAACAGAGGAAAAAAGGTAACCCCCTGCATCCACCTTTGCCTCAGGGTATAGGTACCAAGTGGTTTTTGTCAGCGATTCAGTCTCTGAATAAACCTCATTCAACTAACACGAGATCCACTCCCAATTCAGAATTCTCACAGAGACGATCCATAGTATTAATTTTATAAGATTTCAATAAAACCTGCTGCCAAGATGGTAAATAAGCTCTTATCAACTTACGTTTAGGCTTATCGCCTTCTTCAGAGTTGGAAACCTCCAACAACAACCGGCCGTTTAGACGACTTCAACCAAACCTTCCATCCCCTAGGGTCGGGTAATAGATACCAGACTTATTTGGGTGAATAAGAGCACTGTCTTGCCTATAGGCTGGCCACTGCAATTCATTGTATAGGCCACATCCACATTCATTACGCCACTACGATTCTGAATGGGAGTGGAATAAGTGGGATCCCTTGGACGGGATTGATTAACGTCCTTAGACTTTTACTTCGGACTGATTGTTTAATCGAAGTTCATGGATTTCATGTAAGGATTAAGTCTATCTATTCCTAAGATATAGGTAAACCCATATGGGTGTGGCTTGCCGTGCCTTCAAATTAATAACTAAGGTCGGTTTCTCTTTCCTGGAGCCGGTTTTCGCCGGTCAAGATGCTCGAAGAGAGAGTCAAAGCAAGAGGGGAAGTTATTCCTTCTTTCTTTAAGACTAATAGACGAGCAGGCTGTTCGTACATCGAATCAGGTTCCAATCCAGAATATAAGGCAGCAAACGCAACTAATTGCTTTGAATTGTCCGATTTTTTCAAAAAAAAAAAANTTTTTTTTTCAGATCAACGGATATGTCGCCGACCCATGTATGAGTTAGAGTGAACATCCAGTTCCGGAAGATTGTGAGAGGGATTTCCTGATCTGTTTTGATTATGTACCCGACTATATTTTGACGTTATTGACCCGTTGAGGGGCTCGTTAAGAAAATTGCGTTGATAAATCGTCCAATAAAAATCACATTGGAAGTTTAAATTCGTTTGCAGCCCACACAATGACTTGCGGTGGTCAGCTGATGTACAAGTCAGTGTTTTTATCCGTCCAGACGAGATGACCCCGGAGAAGAGATGGATGGCTTAATTAACTTGAGCGGGTATCGGTCAGAGATCCGATCTCCAGACGGTGTCTGTGTGATAGTCTGCCATTTGCCACTACACTACCGCCATCCACTCACTCCCTTTGTGTTCCTCTTCCCTCTCCAACTCTATGGTCTGCTCTGAAATAGAGGTACAGACTTGCTACTTTCATGACCTAGATCAGTTTTGTTGTAGTACTGAGCTTCCAAAAATCGAAGTTGCAGAGTAAACAACACACTAAGGAATTTTTAGTGCACTCGCCGAGGAGCTGAGTTGTACGAATGACCAAGATAGACTAAATAAGTTGCAATCGATTTTTTTCAGTTGAACACAACTATTTTCGTTGTTAACTAGTTGCCAATTGACCACCTACTCTGTTTTATGTAAGAGAAGGGACCTACCTTGGTGGAGAACCAGAATAGTTTAATAAGGAGGAAATGGAACCCCTACTAGTAAAGCAAAGCAATGAGATTGTTTAGGAAAATCGGCCGGAAGATATCGATATGCGGATGCGACATAAGAAAGGAAAAAATTGAGGGTTCCAACCCGTTATGCTGGGAAACATAAAAACAATCCTACCTAATCATTCCGACACAGCTTTGGAGTATACTTTTTAACGAGCACCATAACTGTTACAGTTAACGCGCTCCATTCATGACAGGAGAATTGTGGCGCGCTGCTTGAAAATTCAAAAAGTTTCAGTAGAAGTTTCAGTAGGACGCAAGTGTTAACGTCCTTGGTGGAGTTTCTCTTCATTATACTTCGTGTTCTAATTTAGGTTTCAGCCACCTTTTTCTTCATTTCGGTTGGGATTGTTTAGACAAATGGGGTAAGCTAGAGATCGAGTTTGCATATTGCTTCAAGATCGTGTAAGAGTTCCCGAAGCACTTCATTATGGGATAGGAAGGGGACAGTAGGATTCATTGTTTGAATAGTTTGTCATTATTCTATGCCACTTCTGTGTTTTAGTTTTGTTTTCCTTACCAAAGACAAGTGTATTGCACGAATACTTCTGGGATCATGTTCCTGATTAAGTGAAGCTGACCTATGTTGAAAATCATAACAAAAACATAGTCGTACATCGTATCCTAGGCATGCGTAGTCTTTGTTAAAATAATGTACCGGCAGTACATCAGAGAGGAAAACGGTGTAATACGTGAAGAAATATAATTCTGTACTGTTCACCTTCTCTGGCGGGTTGTGACAGCACATATAGGGTCTCGTAACCAAAAAAGGCAAAAAAGTACTCCTGAGGAGCTACAAAGTAAAATCTATCAAAAAGTTAGTGCTCATAGGTGATAAAAAGGTAGAGGCCGCTAAAATGGCTCATTCGAGCTCAGTGATGTCATCGAATTTTTACGCTTTCTACGCTCTGCTCTGTAGTCATGAACAAACTACAATGTTTTACTCAGGGGTGTTGTTGAAAAAAGTGGACAAAAGCAAAGTTCGCGTGGCCGTGAGGGTCAGGTGAGCAGTTGCTCAAAATTTGCAATGTTTTTATTCTCTCCTGTTTCTATTCTATTCTCTATAGGTGCGTTCAGCTAATGTACTCCTTTTTATGAAGTTGACCATGAACGGCTTTCTTTTCTTGGGAAAAGTATGTTTGTCTGGAATGGATTAGAATATGTGACCATTGTGCTTGCAGATTCGCGTCTGTCGGATGTTTATGAGTCTCTAAGTTTGGGCAAGAACAATGCAATGAGCGGAATGGAGATGTTGAAACAATGGCTCGAAAATGCCGAAGAAGTGTGCAAAACTGTTGTGCCAAAAATAGTTGCCATCTCGAGCAAATCTGCTCTGTTCACCAGCGAAAAATTGGTTAGTTCAATTGCTACACAGTTAACCGGAACCTTATGCTTCCTTATATTCCAGACGGATCAGGCTGAAAAGATTGGCGAGTTGAATGGCGAGGTTTTGCAGCTCATTTCTGCTGTCAAGGAAGAAACGCAGAGCCTGTCTCGGACAGTGGAGGTGTTAAAAAAGGACTCTGATCTTATGGTAAGCTACGCCTCTTCCACAGTATCCTTGTAAGGCGCCAAACCTCTTTAAATCATATGTCCTACATGGTCACTTTAGCTCAAACTTCGGCGAGAATGCATTGAAGAAAGCTCTGCTCAGAGAGCGAAATCGATCTTCACCTTGAGGCAACAGCAACAACGCACGAATAAGGTACTTTATACTTGAACTTTTTAGGAAGTGTTTCACATTGTTATCTAATCTAGATAACTGAGAAGGCGCGAGCAATTCTGGCAGAATGTGCTACTTTCCAAACGGAAAATCAGGAAACGCTTCAGTTGTAAGTGATTTGGGTTTCCTTGAGTCAAAAGGAACAGTTCGCAGTCCGTTGCAATCGTAATGTTGCTTTCTATGTAGGATGGAATCTCAAGACAAGGACGTCTTGGAAAGGAATCAAGCTGAGATCGAGGCGTGGCTGTCGACTTTCGAAGGCAGCGAGAATTCGGCTAAACAAGCAATACAGTCAGTAAACGGAGTTCTCGATACCATTATGGAAACGATAACAGAGAGGATGTAGGTTCTTGCTATGTTTGAACACTTGATCTTTACGCCGTTATTTCTTTTTACCTACTTTTGCTTCTCAGTCAGCGAAGCTAGCTTTCTTTGCGCTTCATTCGCTCTTGGTTATTCCTTAGAACCTTCTGACATTCTTACACTAGTTTAATTTTCTAACACTTTTTTGTTCGTAACTGGCGTTCGGCTCATTGTACATAGATCTTTTTTTTGCAAATTTGCCCATGTTCGTCTTTCAAAATTGTTATGGTCGTGGAGCATTGCTAGAAGAACAATACTGATCAATACGGGATTGGAATCCAATTTCTCATGAACCTTGAGTTTCAGATCATCCTCTGCTGACGTTATGAAAGAAACATGTGAGCAGGCAGTGGAAGCTAGCGCTTCTGTAAAGGTATTTGCTTTTGTAAAATCGTAAAGTTATTCGATTCAGGACACGTTTGTTTTCAGAAACACGCGGAATCGTTTGCTGATGAAGTCCTTACGAAAAACATGTTGTTGAGTAGTAATATGGGAGATATGTTAAATTCTATGTTCGAAGGAAGCGAGATGATTGAGAAAGGCATCGCAGAAGTCGAAATCGTCCGTCTGGAGGATCAAGATAATCGAGTAAGCCCCTGTTTTCGTCGTAGGAATATCTTATCGATGGCTGAACATTTAAGGCTAGAAGTGATCTTGCGACTGCTCAATATCTGCGCGATCAACTTGGACAGGTTAACCATGAGATGCTGGCGATGATAGATGAAAACTATTCGAGTCCGAAGGAAACAGGTATACTCATTGGCATGGTTGCTCATTTTGCGAATTACCCTGAGCCATATAAGTTAATTACTTTTCAGGAAGTACTCCTCAAAAGTCGCACTATCCAGTACCAAAGGATTCAGAAGTACCTCATGTTCCGATAAAGGAAAAATTTCTAGCTTCGGAAGGCTTGGACCTGAATGCTCGGGTTAGATTTCACTTAGTACCTGTTCTTTCTGTTCGTTTATTCTTTTGATCAAATAACTTAAGACACCACGTAAACCGACACTTTGTACCCGTGAATCTTTGCTGGAGGCTCAAAGTATCTGCATATCACCGGAAACACTCGTTGCTTCCAGGAAACGACGATTAGAAGATATCGGAGAGGTAGTTTGGCTTCAAAAAGCTCAATTATCAATTCATTTTTTATGGAAGTAACAGAAGTACAACATTATTCTGTCCATTTCTACGGCCATTTTTGCGCGGCGATATGTGTGTTTTAAACAGTTACTGCTCGACTAGCTTGCTTTGAAAGTGATAAGCCCGTTGGAAAGCACGTCTTGAATGCCACATTTTAGTTGGTTTCCTTTATTATTCGTTGAAACCTTTGCTTATGATTTTTGTCGGTTGCAAAGGATTGGTAATGAATGCTTTCCCATTGGCATGCCATAACTTCTTTGAAGCATGGACAGAAAACTTGCAGTAGAATTTGTATCAGTAATATTCGATTCTCAGTGATTTTGAAAATCAAATCAATGTTGAGATCAACTTGCTATTAGTTTGGATTGTTCCCTTTATAGGAGTCCGTTGGTCTTTCCAGTCGAGCAGGCAGTCGAGTATCCAAGGAAAACGTAGAGAACTGAGAATGTCTGTTTATTTTGTGTTTTTGTTTTCTTGCTTATGTTTTTCCGAAGTTAGTTCTCGTTAAAATTGTTACATTTCAGTTGTTGTGTACTAACTCAGTCGTTGTGCTCATTCTCACAAAAGGAAAAAGTGACCGTTTCAACTAACTCTGACCTCATGTCCAATTTCCAAGTCTGCCGAACGACTCTCGAAATGACGAAGTAGGTCTTTTTCTATGCCATCTTACAAAATATAACTCTTGTAGTTGCTAACTCGTGGTCATGAAATCGAGAGATCGATTCCTTGCTGAATTACAATTTTCGTCATTTTCGAAAACCGATTCACTCAAAAAATTCTTCAAAGATTTTGATAGGAGAATCAAGATTCTGAATCGCTTTTTGTTGTGCGGAACACTCATCTTCAAGAATATTTCTGACTTGACTTTAACCTATTTCTGATCTGGTAGAAGACTTACGAGGTATCAGCAGTGCTGTTTAAAGTCCAAAAAGACGTTTGGTCAGTTCGTTTTCAGAGGACAACGCAGTTTCTGGCCAGGTCTGACCCAAGAGTAGGAGATCTCAAAAGGAGCGATTTTGGCGAAGAAATCTTGCTCATCGGATCTTGCTGATCCTGCTTCTACTACAGACCACCGTCTGAAGCTTTTAATTTCTGCACCCTTTCCTGTACACCTTACCTCACACCCTCCTGTACCATCATTTTTTTTTACTATATTCGCCCTTCAATCATTTAACTCAACTATCTCAGGAATGTTTTTTAGGACCTTTGGAAAACATATTAATTTGTTTGAATATTGCATTTAGTTCCAGATTTTAGTTCTTGTTGTGTTTTATGATTTTTATTGGTGCTGTGAGAAAAATAAATATTTTCTTTCATGCATGCTCTGAATAAAACGAGTTGCAATTCATCTGCAAAGGCAA